CCCTGGGCGCAGCATCTCCCCATGGGATGCTGGAATGGGATCAGCCCTGCAGGGACACTCAGTGGCCATGGACAGCAGAGATCTCCTGGAGGGAGGGTTGGCGGGGGAAAAAAAAAAAAAAAAACGCCCCATGGACAGCAGAGAACTGCCCCAGCTCTGACAGGTGGGAAATACTCACCCTAAACCATATCTTACAAGCCAGGACAGTGAGGTGTTCAAAAATCAAACATATCAATATATTTGTTTCTGTTTTATATCCTCCAGGCATTTTGGTGCCATATTTTATGGCCTGATTATGGTAGCATTGAAACAAGTGTATTAAACCACAATATATCTTATTTGGTCAATTTTGGCTGTCATTTATACAGCCAATAATAGCCTGGCACAGCTTCTTCTCTTGTCAGTAGAATTTGCAGCAAAGCCCTGCTGTAATGTGATTTATGATTTTGCTGAACAAATCATCTGCCTTTTGTAATCACACTGGGGCAAGCCCTGCAGCTCTTGGTGAGACTTTTCAGGGCTTCACAGGATTAAGAGATAAATCCAGTTTAACAATATGTCTTAAAAGGAGATAATTTCACACAGCTGGGTGCATAAACCAGAGCAGAGATGTGGGTGTGGGCTCTGCCCTGTGACCAGCACAGGAGCTTTTACCCAGACTACAGAGATACAAAGGAAATGCAGCAGCAGAATTAATGTCTATTTAATTTCGATGGGATATTGGAAATAATTCCTTCCCTGTGAGGTTGGGCAGGCCCTGGCACAGGGTGCCCAGAGCAGCTGTGGCTGCCCCTGGATCCCTGGCAGTGTCCAAGGCCAGGCTGGACAGGGCTGGGAGCAGAGGGAGGTGTCCCTGCCCATGGAAAGAGATGAGTTTTAAGGTCCCTCCCAGCCCAAACCATTTGATGATTCTGAGATTTAAGCAGGACCAAAGAGGTAGCTGCTACCACGAGTAGGATTCAGTCAGTATGGAGACTTCTTTGGTCTTGATTCCTTCCTTGTGAACACCTCTTTGGTCCTGGCTTGTCCACACTGTAAAATCCAGATTTTAGCAAGAAATTCAGAAATTGACCTGCATGGAAAAAACCTACTTCATATACTGGGGATTAGAGACCACCTGAAGAAACATTTTGACCTGCCTGCAAAACCAAAAATTGTGCATTTCTTTCTGTATTAAAACAAGTCATTTTTAAAAAAATTTAGATGCAGACAGGGCATGGCACAGTCCAAATATGTTCATGAAATCTAAACCAGGCAACCCATTGACGTTGCTCTTTCTTTTGTCCCCCCACCCAGGTGACTCCATGACCTACCACAATGGAAGGTCCTTCTCCACCTTTGACAAGGACCACGACTCTGCCATCACCAACTGTGCTCTGTCATACAAAGGAGCTTTCTGGTACAAGAACTGCCACCGAGTCAACCTGATGGGCAGATATGGTGACAACAACCACAGTCAGGTGAGTTTGGCTCTGAAGGCTTCTCTAATTCATGAGAGGAAGGGGAATTGCAATTATGGGTTTTTCTGATGGTTCAGCCAGCCCCCCACAGCATCCCCTCCTCTCACTCTCCAGGAAGATAGGGAAATGTATGGGCTCACAAAACAAGAATTTAACATCAGCTGGTGAAATCTTGTTGGCTTTGTTTGATTTTCCAAGGGAATATCTCAAGTGTGCAGGGAATAATTGTCATTTCCAACATGTGAAACAAAAATATTTTCCTGCCATGAAAGCCAGGCAAGGAGGGACAGCTCTGAGGGACAGAGGTTTAACAAGACCAAGCTCAGGGTGCTGCACCTGGGCTGGGACAGCTCCTGGGACAAATCCAGGCTGGGCTGAGCAGCTGGAGCAGCTGGATCCCTGGCAGTGCCCAAGGCCAGGCTGGAGCACTGAGAAGGTGTTTCTGCCCACAGCAGGGGTGGAACAAGATGATCTTTAAGGTCCCCTCCAGCCCATCCAGTGTGTGTTTCTATGATTCTGTGGCCTCATGTGGGTGGGTTTGTACAGGTTGGACATTCCACAGCCCCTGTGCTTCCCAAAGCTCCTCCACTTCATGGTGCCTCTGTGCCCAAACCAGAAACACCCCCATGTGGTGGTGTTTGCAGGTGTCCTAGGACAAGAACCTTGACTCCATGTTTAAGAAGGCTCGTTTATTATTTTATGATATATATTATATTAAAAGAAAATGATGTATTAAAACTATACTAAAAGAATAGAAGAAAGGATTTCATCAGAAGGCTAGCAAGGAATAGGAAGGAATGAATAGCAAAAGCTCGTGACTCAGAGAGAGTCAGCTGGCTGTGATTGGCCATTAATTAGAAACAACCAATATGGACCAATCAAAGATGTTGCATTCCACAGCAGCAGATAATTATTGTTTTTCTTTTCCTCTGAGGCTTCTCAGCTTCTCAGGAGAAAAATTCTGACAAAGGGATTTTTCAGAAAATATCACGGTGACACCCCCAGTCTGAACGAGGGGCAGTAAATACAAATGTGACCCCCCAACATCTCCCCTTTGCCTTCACAGGGCGTCAACTGGTTCCACTGGAAGGGCCACGAGTATTCCATCCAGTTTGCAGAGATGAAGCTGAGACCCTCCAGCTTCAGGAACCTGGAGGGGCGGCGGAAGCGAGCGTAGGGCCCGGGGGGTGCGGGCAGGGGTGGGAGGGGATGGAGAGGGGGTGTGGGGAGACCCTCGGGCATCGCTGGCCTGGGGGTGTGAGGAGCTGGGACTGGCACCACAGCATCATTGGTGAGCCCCGGCAGAGGCTTTGCAGCATTCCAAACCATAAAAAAGCCTTAAACCATCCCAGAGTTTCCAGCAGAGCAGCTCCAGCTGCCCACCAGGAACGTCCTCCACACCAAAGACAAGGATCTCAAGGGTTCTGTGTTGTTTTATTAATTTTTTTTTATTTTTAATTTTTTTTGCCAGAAAGCGTCTGGGATAAAGTTCTTCCGACATCTGACGATCTCTTGGGTGGCCCAGGGGAGGGGAGGGAGAACAGCTTTGTACATTGGTAGTTTGTTTTAGAACCAGCCATATTTTACAGACAGAAATGTGTAAGATTAATTATCATTATTATTATTATTATTATTAGTTGTAAGTGGAAATAATTGGTGGTTTGAATGCCTTTCTATATATATATCAAGTACCACAGAGAAGGAGGGAATGGGAAGGGAAAGCAGTATGTTTTTAAACTTAAGCATAGGATTAATATTATTAATATAAAGACAAAGTAATAATAATAATAATGATAATAATAATAAGCTACATTTTGTCATTTTTAAGAGAACCATGCTTTTGGAAACACAGCAGGACAGTGTCTGATTGTAAATTTTTTTTTTATAAATAAAAGCACAATTACTTTTAAATAAATTTCTACTTTTTTTTTATCTATGTGGAGTTTGTGCATGTCCAGGATATATTTACTTAGATGGGGAAATAAAGACAGACTGAGATTAATTAGGCTGCTGAACCCCTACTGAAATCTGTTCCTTTTGTCAGTGACTGGTTGTAATTATTCTGGTGGGTTTGTTACAGTGAAATGCCCGTGAGGATTTGGGTTCTTTCAGAACAGAATATTTTTTTTTTTCCTGCCCAAAAGCTTCTTCCATGGTTTTTCTAAGTGCTACTGACCAATGCTTGCTCCATCTAGGTGGGAATAACTAACAAAGCAAAACAAAGAGAACCCAGAGTTGTTTTAGGTACCATGGACAGTTTGAACACTTGTGTAAATAAAGGGCTCTCTCTTTTTTTTTTTTTTTTAATATGACTGAAATTCCGTGTAGTTCCTCTGTATCACACCCTGCAGTTCAAGACAATAAAAAATCTCTTGTTTTAATCCAGTCTCTCTGCCCTACTTCAAGGTTGCATTTTGCAAACATTTTGTAAACGTTTTGTAAATGTTTCTTGTCTCCCTCCTGGCTGAAGTTACACTCCTGAGCATTGTTTGTGTTGCATGGGGAACATAAATCTCCTTTGACCCTCCAGGGCACTGCCAGCACTATATTAAATTAATTCTCTGTAATTAGTCTCCCTTCCTAGGTGTTTATCACAGCAAAGCATAGGCAGCATGAAGGAGAACAAATCCAGTAATGAAGAAATATGCTCTGCTCCCTAGATGCTTTCCAAGCTATGAGGAAATGGCACTGGATCCCTGTTTCTGGGTGCTGGAAAGCTCTGGCAGTCTGTTTGCAGACAGTCGGGGGAAGAAGTGACACTTCTGGAACGATTTCCTCATTTCTGGTAACATCCCAGAGCTGCCTGGCTCTGCCTCTGGTGTCATTTACCTTGGCAGCTCCAAAGAGCTCCTGCAGACAGGCTCAGCTTTGTGCCTCACCCCAGACAAGACTCAAACACGCCGCACAAAAGGAAGCTGATATTTCCTGTAATTACTCACTGACAGATGCCCTGCTTGGTATTCTCTGTGATCCCCACTGAGAGAGGGAAGCTGGCAAATCCTTGGAGTCAGAGCTGCCAAAACACCCTTCAGAGCTGACACAAGCTTGATTTGGGACCAGCAGCTCCACCACGGGCTCCTGGAAGGGAGATTCACTGGCTTTTCCCCCTTTCCTGTTTGTAACTCGTGAGAGGAGTTTAAAAACACGCTCAGATTTGAAATCTGTTCATGAACCTGCCATGCCTCAGTGCTGGAGTTCATCCTTAACGTGATGAAGCAGTTTGGGAGCCTCAAGGGGGCAGGAGAGGAAGGGCTTCACAATTGTTTCCTCAGCCAGATTTAAGGTCCTAAAGGCACTGAAGGGGATATCTGGGGGCATGAGAGGGGTTTATGGGGTTAGGAACTGCAGCCATGGGGTATTTTTGAGACACGTGGATGGAAAACTCCTTTTCCACGGTCACTGTCCTAACCTTAACTACAGTCTGAGCAAGAATTCATGCTTGGCTTTCTTACTTAAGTGAGGGGAAAGCTTCAAGGCAGGTGGGCAAAAGTCAGCTGGAAGCATAATTTGGGGGAGTGAGGCTCTTGGCAGCTTTCAAATTATTCAGTCCTCTGGTTTCTTTGTAGGACTTGGTCTGCTAAGTGATGTGATTGTTTCTGACTCCAAGCATGAGTGTGCACTGATTAGAGCACTCCAGGGTGATGTGGGAGATGACAAATACCTTAAATTCTTCCCTCTGCCTCAGTAATTCCTTGATGCCAGCTGAGCTGGAGCACCCACACGTGCTGCATCACCTCTGGGTGCAGCTCCCTCACCTCCTCTCCTGATGCAATTCCAGCCAAGGGAACTGATCTCACCCATTCCGGGCTGAATGTCAGCAGAAACCCAGGGAATCTCACCTGAGCCTGCAGCAGTGAATAAATAGCCCAGTGATTTGTGACAGAAAACACAAATTTTCCATCTTTCCTACCCAATGATGTCCCTTCAATCAAATTACAAGTTTGACTTGGTTTGCTTTAAAAGCAGTTGAGCGTAACTGAGGGTCAGAGAGCATGAAAAACAAGAAATTGAGTACACACTGATCCAGTGGCTGCCCCTGCTACTCATTTGGTCTCAGGCTTCACTATCTGAATCCAAACTGCAGCCTTGAAAAACCTTCTTGCAGCTGCCATGTTAATCCTGGGGGCTGTTAAAGGGGCACTACCTTTTTTCCTTTGCTTTTTTCTCTTCCTTTTCTCCTTCTGCTTCTTCATCTCCATCTTCTCCTTCTCCTTCTTTCAATCTTCTTCTTCTTCACCTTCTTCTTCTCAGCACCCTTTGAGCTTGACCACTGAACATTTTCGAGAACTTGATTAGAAAGGAAAGCAGAATAGAAATGTTCAGGTGTCATCAACAAGCAGAAGTTTGATCCCAGAAAATGGCAAGGAGGTGGCATCAGCCTCACAGGTACCTTGCCACTTTTTATTTCTGACTTGCAGGGATGAGGACAAGATGAGCCAGGAATAGAGCTGGGATTGCTGAGGTGGTGCTTGGTTGCTGTTGGTTCTCTGCACTCCATCAGGAGCTCAAGGCAGAGTGAAATTCTTCACAGAGTGCTACAAACACAGGGGATTGATAAAATGATACCATTTATTTAATGGGATGTGGGAAACAATAATGTAAAATGAAAATACAGAAGGAGACATGAACGCCCCAGCAGCTCTGGAGCCCCTGCTCAGCACAGCCACAACATTTTCTTTGAAAAAAGTCTGCTCCGGTCTTTGTTCCTCCACCTTTCCCCCGGTGATTTCCCCAGCAGGTACAGAAATCTGAACACACACAGCTCCAGCAGCTCTGTGTGTGTTCAACAAATGTTAGTCCTGATAAACAAGGTGTGGTTTGTCAGCAGGAGACTGCAAGCAAAGCTCAGCCAGAACTGCACGGATGATCTTTATTCTTGGAGGGCCCTGAAAAAACACACCTCTTAATCAGGCCTTCAATCTAAAGGGGAAGGAGTTGGTGTAGGTGAGAGGGAAAGACAATTCTCAGCAAAAAATAATATAAAAAAAGGCAAAAACCAGAATAAAAGATGATGTAAGAACCGCTCTGGCTTTCTGGGTCACCCTCGCCCGCTCACAAGCTGCTCCTGGCTCCATCCCAAAAGGTTTAGGAGTAGAAACACAACCTGATGATTGTACAGTGAGGTTTTCACTTGACTTGCAGCCTTGCTGAGGAATTTCCAGAGGGCTGAGAATGAGTCTCCATCCGGGCTTGCATCAATCATTTTCCTGCTGCAAAATGAATCAGGCCTGTTGCACTTTGCAGTGGCAATGAGATCCTGAGTGGAGGCCAGAGCAGGAAAATATAACCCCACACAAGCATTTCAACAGCTTTGTGAGCTAAAGGAAAGTTTCCTGGAGGGGGCAGGAGTTCTTGGACAGGAGAAATTATTGCAAAATAAAGAGGCTGGTGCTGTACCCATCTCTGTATCCCTTCCACTCCTACATTTAGGCCCACTCAGCTGAAAAATGCACTTCAGCTTTAGTCACTCGTGAAGTGTGGGGAGCTCACGGTCTCTCTGAGATGCTATCTGCAGGGTTACTCACTTGTGCCCTTTCAGATGACTCTGAGGATAAGTGTTTGGGTATTTTTAGGGGAAAAGTCCCCTTTCAAAACCTCTGAAATTTCGGAAGTCTGGGCTGAGCTTTTCCAAGGGATGAAAAGGAGCCCAGGTCTCCTTCCTTAGTGCTGCTGTTTGGCTTTCCCAGCTCAGCTCCTTGGGGAGGGACAGGTTTGGAATGGCAGCTAAAAATGTACCTGTCCCTCCATAGGTGCTCTCTTTGTCCGTCCTCAGGACCATCCTCACATTCCCTGGAGGCACAGAGGGGCCTCCACACCACTGTGGGCAGGGTAACTGTGGTTAAGTGGTTTTTGGTGCACAAAGTGAAGCATGACTAATAAATAAATAAATAAATAAATATCTACTACTCACAAATTCAGGACTCCCTTTTTGGGGATTGCCACAGGAAAAAAGCCAATTTTCCTGTGCCTGCCTGCCTGACCTGGCAAAAACCACTTGCAAGGTGTCTTGTTCCAAGGCAGCAGCTCCTGAAACCATCAGTGACTGCATGGGATGGCTCAAAGGACCTGCTGATGACTCTGCTCCTTCACCTCTCCGTCAGGTACTTTCCTCAGAGGAAATCATTCAGCTTCCTGTGTTTTTACTGTAAATTCTGTGCTGCAAAGAGGAAAGAGAGAAAGAGACCAGCACAGATAGAGAGACTGGGGTGGGGGGAAAACCA